CACAGTGATGCCTTGAGGACTTTCAACAATAACTCCAGTACCACTTCCTTTAAGATTAGAAGATCCATCAACAATAACTCAAGTCACCTTCCGATTGTGCGACTTTTGAATGCGTCATTTCAACAAGGAAATCAGCTAACACTTAAGCTTTGATCGCTTGACGCGATTCATAAATGATGTCATATTCTGATAATTCAATAGACCAAGTGATCATTCATTTTGCAAGATCAGGTTGACGTAAGATCTGTCTAAGGGGTTGGTTAATTCTGACTTTAATCGAGTGTCCTTGGAAATAATGATGCAACCTACGAGATGTTACGATGAGTGCAAATGCGACCTTCTCAATCTATTGGTAGTGCAATTCCGGTCCTTGAAGGGCTTTACTGATGAAATAAATTGGTTGTTGACCATTGGCGTCTTTGCGCAATAATACCGCGTTGATGGCCTTATGGCTAATAGAAAGATAAAGCACTAATGGTTCATCAGGTTGTGGCCTTACCAAGACTGGAGGATTAGCCAAGTGCTTCTTTATCGCGATAAATCCTTCTTCGCATTCTGGTGTCCAATCAAAAGTGGTTTTCTTACGCAATAGTTTAAACATGGGTAAAGATTTTTGTGCCGAAGCAGACAAGAATCTAGTCAGAGCTGTTATTCGTCCAGTCAATTGTTGGGACTCTTTGATATTCTGCGCACTGGTCATGTCAAGAATTGCTCTACATTTGTCAGGATTTTCCTCTATTCCCCAGTGTGTTAACATGAATCCCAAGAATTTTCCAGCTGGGACTCCAAATGCGCATTTTGCTGGATTAAGTCGTAGCTTATATTTGCGCAATTGCTGAAACATCTTCTCTAAATCATGTGGATGTTGTGAGATTGTTGTAGTCTTAACAATCATATCATCAATATAAACCTCCAACATTTGACCAATTTGTTAACTGAATACTTTATTCATCATACGCTGATATGTTGCGCCAGGGTTTTTAAGACCAAAAGGCATCATGTTGTAACAATACATGGCCTTTTCTGTAATAAAAGCATTGGCTTCTTCATCGTGTTTGAACATTGGAATTTGGTTATACCCTGAATAAGCATCCATAAAAGAAAGAATCTGATATCCCGCTGAATTATCAACTAACTTGTCAACAGTTGGAAGAGGGTAAAAGTCCTTTGGACAGTGCTTATTAAGATCTGTATAATTCGTGCACATTCGCCATTGGCTTTCGTGACCAAAACGACATTTGAAAGCCACGTAGAATACATGATTTCTCTAATGACCCCAGCGTCTAGCAACTTCGTCACCTCATCATCAACCACCTTCTATTTTTCAGGAGAGATTTTGCGTTACTTATGCGCAATTGGTTTTGCTTGCGGATTAATAGTAAGGTGGTGGAAAATTACATCTGGATCTACCCCTGGAATGTCAGCAACTGTTCAAGCGAATAAATCTTTGTTTTTTAACAATACTGCTATCAATAAATTTTGTCCCACTCCTGCATGTGTCGACCAATTTTGGTAACGTTCCCCGGGAGTGGGCCAGTTGAAGATCTTCTAACTCACCATCAGGTTGTGGCCGCACATTGCGCAAATCCTCGTGCATGTCTAAATCTATCATATTGATAGAAGTTTTGCCTTTAGTATCTTGATGAGTGGCAGATTTATTGTTCACCTTTAAACTGGTATTATAACAACTACGCACTGCCCTCTGGTCACCTCTAATGGAAATGATAGTACTAGTAGGATCTATGAACTTCATTAAAAGATGCGGCATGGATATGATTGTGCCCAAAGCGCCAATGGTTGGACACCCCAGAATTACACCCCTTAATGGTTCGTCCAAGAGACATAGTCCCAAAAGTTACCAATATTTCAATGATACCTTTAGGTTGTACGCATTCGCCAGAAAAACCAAGCAAGTCTGTACATCCAGGGATTAAATATTTTTCTGGCATATTCATTGTGCGAAAGGCATCCCAAAAAATTATATCAGCAGAACTACCACTATCAATCAAAATGCGTTATACCTGGAGATTTGCCATGCAAGCTGAAATTACCAATGGACCATTATGGTCAAGAATGATATCACCGTAATCATCATCGTCAAAATTAATTGATTGACAATTGGGACGAGACATAGAAGGTTGCCCATGATTATTAACTGTCATGACAGCTTTTAGACGTCGCTTGCGTTGTGAGCTGGTGTCTCCTCCCCCAGCTGTTCCTCCAGCAATGGTGGCCAACACTCCGGCAGCATTATTGGGCAGTTGCGGAGGTCTCTGGTGCATCGTCTGTTGTTCATGTTGTCTATCACGTGCTGCTGCTCCCTCTTGTCTACCAGTGTGCTCATAGTGCGCATTCCTTTCCAATTTACCTCAAGGCCAATCATAACTGCTTTTCTCCTGATTCCGTCATCTTTCAGGGTTCCTACCATTATCAGGGCTTCTATCCCTCCTCATTTGCGCCTTATAATCTTTGCAAGAAGAAATAAATTCTTGAAGTTTACCTGCTCTAATAAGTATTTCAATAGTATTTTTTAAATCGAAGCACTCGTCTGTAGTGTGACCAATATCATCATGAAATTCACAAAACTTAGTTTCATCACGTCTTCCATTCTTTTTTAGTGGTGGAGGTTTCGAAACACGAACATAACCAGCTTGAAATACTTCTTTAAGAATTCTCCTTCGCGATGTATTCAAAGGAGTATAATTTTCAAACTTTTTTTTTCCACTTTTTTTTTCTCGAAACCGTCTTTGAAAATCTTTTTCAAAATTATCAATTTCTGGTTTTTATCCCAGGAATGTCCCGAGAACGCTTATAATCTTCCAAATTAATAAATTTTTTTGATCGCACTCTAAGGTCCTCTATATAGTTCATGGACGATGTTTGGCCAACGACATAGAGAACGGGCCTTCCAGCAGTCCTTCGATGATGAGATGTAAAGAGACTTGAGGGTCTAAATCTTTCACCAAGAGTGCTTCATTAAAAAACCTGTTGAGGTAATTGCGCAAAGTTTCGCGCGTTCCTTGCATAACTATTTTTAAGGCATGAGTGAGTTTGTACTGCGCTTTACTAGTGGCAAACCGTATAAGGAATTGGCTGACGAGATCCTCCCAACTTTGAATTGAATTGGTCGATAAAGCCGAATACCATCTGAGTGCAATTTCTTTTAACATTGTTAGGAACAGTCTACATGCTACTGCAACGTCTTGAGCTATCGTTTTGGTTTGAAACTGCTCTAAATGTTCTTGTGGATCTCCCTTTCCATTATACTTTTCTGTTGTAATTTCACGTCCCTAGGAATTGGAATGTTCACGACCTGGGAAGTAAAAGGATGCAAAACTCGAGAAACTATTTTTGAGTTCCCCTAAGAATTCTCAAGTATTTCTTTTTCCTCTTCATCTTTTTTACTTTGACCTGAAGTAGTAGGATCTTTCTTTGAGTATTCATGTCCTGGTTCACTTTCATCAGAGTTTTCGCGATCCTTGACAGTTTCTTTTTCCATTTCTTTTTTCTTTTTCTTTTCCTTTCTCTTGAGTTTTTTCTTTGGGCTTTTGTAGTTTTTTCAACTGGGCCAAGTCTCGATTCTGCTGGACAATTTTTTTGTTTTGCTGGGTGATGAGTTTTAACAAGTGTTGAGTGGTAGGTGGATTTTCATTGTATGCAGAGATTGGTGCAACAGAAGAAGCTGATTTTTCTCGCGAGGTGGGTGTTTCTTTGCTCTTTGCCTTGGAGCCATTCTGCGACTTACTTCTGGTATCAACCATGTTTTTTGATTTGTGATAAAGTAGGATTTAATGATATGTCCCCACAGACGGTGCCAATGATCAGTCCAGTACAATATGGGCAGGCCAATATGGACTGGGCCTACCTAATCACACATAATTGAAGACTGAAGACTTTGAGTTGGATGGAGTACTTTGTGGGCTGATGTTGTCTGCTATATAGTTAATGGATGTTGAGCTTTCTTGGCGCAGTGGGTTTGACTGGGGGGTACCTGCAATCATACTTCGACGCTCAAATTAGTATCAATGCTAGGCTTATGTTATATTCTTATTAGAATTAGATCATCATACTTGGGTGTGTATCCTTTGTTTATATAGCAACTCTTATGCCGCCTTCGGTAGGCGGTATGCCTTCTGATTGGCTGCAAACTTATCTATCTCAGCTAGTGCCTTTCTGGCTATGCACCTATATGTTGGGCTGCCTTCTTAGGGTGGTGGCAAGTTGGAGCTGTCTTTCGTGTATTGACTTGTAGCGTGGTGATCTTAGTTTTATAGGATCCTTCCTTAGCTCTTAAGTCATATAAGGCGGTTTGGCGCAATGAGGTCATTGCGCCTTCGGGTTTTTATGCGCGATGGAGACATCACGCATTTCATAGGGCCTGTATGTTTTTGGGCATATTCTGGGCTTTAACCCTTTGTGGGCCTATTGTAGTTTATCCAGATCATCTCCTAATATATAAAAGTGTATGGGATCAATTTTTTTTTTCTCTTTTCTCTTTACATAGTTTCGTATGAGCTATATATATATATATATATATATATATATATATATATATATATATATATATATATATATATATATATATATCGACCCTAATTACCTCTTTGAGGTGAGTTGGCCCCCCGGATATCCCCACAAGCTTCAACCGCTTTGAGTCGGTTATGAGATTAATTCCGAGTCAAGATTTAGTCACATTTAAAGCTCTTTGTCCTTTCCCAATGATATATTTTGTACGAATCGAACACAAGGTCTCTCCAAGTCCTATATATTTTTATATATGTGTAAAAGATAATTTTATTTCTTAAGAAACTTTAAACCCTTAAAATTGTAACTATTAATCTATGAATGAATAACTAAAATTTTCACATAACATGACTGTTACGACAAGACATTTAAGCATCCATTCCCGTGCGGTATGTCTTACTTTTGATAGGCCCCTTATGAGGCAAGGCAACATTATTTTTTGAATCACAATAACTAATGTAGAAGTTCTTGGGTGGCAACAGTAATCAATGCTTAGCATTATTATTAAATACAGTCATGACTTAATGAAATAAATAGAATAGAGATATAAATAGTTATGAACTCATGTTCACCTAAGATTGCAGAAAGCAAAGAGTAAACATGCTGATCTCTGGTGGTTTCCGCTACTTTGGCCCTACAACTGTGTAGAGTTAATGATGTTTATTTTGGTTGAGCCAATGCCAACGTTATAGGCAGAATTCTTATATGTGCTAATTTGAAGAATGGATGATGTTACTAGAAGAAATGAATCCTGATGATGCTGTAGTTGATTGCAATGGCCCTAAGGCAATGCTGCCATTGCTGCAAAGTTGCCATGCCAAGTTGGAAAGTCTTTGCAAAGGAACATATTCTATTCTGTTTACCATGGCCTTCTCCTGCCAGTAATAGATGATCTAACATTAGAAATGTTTGCAATAACATCCCTTCAAGTTGTAAAATTCACTTTCATTGTTCATGTTTTATGCATGCAATGGATAGGGATATGACCTTAAAAATAACATCTATTATATACGGGGAAAGATGTTTTGATTCCTAAGAATAATAAGTGTTATTCTCCATCTCAACCGTTGATTTCCATACATCTGACGGTTATAATTTATTGAATTATACTCATCAATTAATTTTTGGCTTTAGTGTTTCTACAGTGAATGTAGATAAGATATCTACATTTACTCTCAAAACGACGTCGTTTTAAGTTGAAAAATTAAAAAAATTATAATAAGAAAAACTATTATAACCCTGAAATAAATTATAATTACAAAAATACCTTGATTTCGATCCAAAAATGACGTCGTTTTGAGCTCAATGTAGATAAGTTATCTACATTAACTGCAGAAAAAACGAACCCTTGACTTTTACTCCCTAATAAATTACAGCCACTACATACATGAGATCAACAACTGAGATAAGGGAGTAAGATTTCTTATTGTTACACCAAATTCAAAAGATCCCTCCTGATTACAATCTAAAATAATATCATTTTGAGATTTGAAAAAAAATATATACCGTTTTAAGAAAATTCATGTAGTAAGAGTTTATCTAAAATATAGTATGGATGATCATCATGAATCTCCTTCCATGTATAATTATCATAAAATGTTGCAACAAGGAAAGCAAAGAATGTTACCATTATTTCCTTTTCTTTGGGTATCATACAAGCCGCATATCCAAAGGAAAATCCTCCTCCAATATCACAATTCTTCAATTGTTTAGAAGATGGAGAAATCCCTAGGCTCAAATCAAGATTATGGCAAGTACCTGCATTAATTGTAACATTAAGTTTATTTATATAATAGTTGTTTAATGAGACAATGTTAACACTCTCAGTCACACTTCAAGCCCGAAATGAAAATAATGGTCTTGGGAGAGCTGTCTCCTATAATGGGTCAAACAGTACTCGAACCGAACTAGTCGAATAATCGATGAACCGATGGATATAAAAAAAAAAGAAGAAGAAAAAAAGCAGCAAAAGAAATTGAGGCGAACCAAATACACATATATCATCTCTTCATACCTGCTCTGCTTAAATTTGCAATTTTCTCTCCCTTATAGGTACAGGGCTTGAAACATGTCTCAACTTCTCCATCATCACACTTGATGGGTGGCTTGGGACAAAACCTGCATGTAGAAAATGTAAAAATGCAATCTCTGTTGGATTGAACTCCTTATATCATATCTAACTATATGCTAGGACAATAAATTCATGATCCTAAGGAAGGACTATTGGAGCTTTCACTTTAGGATAAGCCTGCCAGTGGCACACAAGTCTATAAGAAAATATCATGGTAGGAAAGAAAAAAAGAAAAAGAAAAAGATAATGCCTAAATAAACAAGATAATAAATTATCTAAATAACAAGGCACTAGCAGTAGTGTATGCAAATTTCGTTCCACATTTACTTAAAAGTTAAAACAATGCATATATGACTAAAATTTAAATAAATCTTATTGCTTGAAATAGAAGTTCTCACTTATGCGGTCCCATTCCTGATTCTCCTTGACCATATTTGTGGAGAGGTAATACACCTTTGAATGTAGATCTTCTCCTTGAGGTTCCATTAATTTGTCGACGAATTATGAAGACAAACTCTTCCTTACTCAAACCTCTCATCTACATCTCAATCAAATTATGAATTCAATCCACACTTAAAAAGAGATTCAAATAGAAATCATAGTCATGAAAGTTTTTATTCCTCCAATACCTGCTTTAAATCCTCCTCATAATCACTCAAACTGAAGTTTATATCAGCATCAACTCCACGGAACTTAATAGCAGCCCTATCATATGCTCTGTATAGATAATCATATCAAGTTTTTGAACAAGTGTTTCAAATAAACATAGCCAAAAATAAAATAAAATTACAGACAATATAACTACATTCAAGATGGCGAGACTTGGCGCAGTGGTAGGTAAGATTGCTCTTTATGACGGGAAGGTCAAGGGTTTGAGTCCAGAAACAGCTTCTTTACAAATAAATGCAAAGTTAAGGCTACGTACTATCACCTCTACCCTTGCAGGTTGGGGAGCTTTCTGCACCTCAGTTTGTCTTTTTAAAAAAAAAAAAAAAAAATAGTTTCATTCAACTGAATAGTTCTCACCTAGCAGCAGCTTGAGCAGTGTCAAATCCACCTAACAAAATTGAAATTAGTCCAATTCAGCCTACCAAAACAGAGAAAACAAAAGTAAAAGAGAAACCACCCACAGAAGTAGCTTCCAACCAATAATTTAATCAAATCAACTTACCCAAATAGACCTGCTTCCCACAATCCCTGCACTCAAAAGTCACAGAAAAGCAAGAACACAATGAAGTGAGACCACCAAACAATTTATAAGAGTAACAACAATAATAGGGTACTACATTTATTAACAGAAACACATGAAAATTCAACATCATATACCATACCATATATGTGACTCCCATCTACCAGTCCTACGGTAGAAGGTAACACCCCGGTATTGTGAGCTGCGAGACCTTGGTCCCCTCCTACTTTTTCTAACTTGTGGTTTCTTCTGCTGCAAGGTTCTAAGTCCATTTTGTCCTTCAGGCTCAAGAAAAGACAAGTTCAGCCATTGAGTCTTCCCCAACAACCCCAACTTGTTGAAATCACACACTCTACCTCCTCTGTCAGCAGTCACAGGAAAAAGGGTCCTTGTGATTATCTCATGCTCTTGTCCTATGTTTTCTTCCTTGACCCTTTCAGTAGCATCAAATTCCATCCCATATCTTTCTTTCTTCATTATGTCAAAAATGAAGGGAGAATAATTGTTTGAGGAATCTTCCTCTGCAGGATTCACAACTGAGGAGTAGGCGGTCCTAGAATCTGATATTTCAGGAGGAAAATTTTGCAGTTGCATCCCCTTTTGAGCACAGGTTGAGTCAGCATCAGCATGGATAACTTCAACATTGAGATTCAACATAGCCATGTCTTGAAAAGCTTTATCTTATCAGCTTTTGGTCTTCAAATCATACATACCCTTTTAAGAGAATCTCATGTACTTTTTTGTTCACGTACACTTGTCTCGGACTAGAAGAGAAAGAGGGAAGAAAAAAAAAGATCCCTTTAAAGGTTAAGCATAGCAGAAGAAGATAGAATGACTTGGTGAAGGTAGAATATCTGTCAGAGCAAATAGATTGAAATTAAGGTAGAGGAAGTGCAAGGAGAAAACGTTAGAGAAAAAGGGAAGAATAGAAACTTGTCCAAGGATCAGAATTCAGAAGGATTACGGCGCAAGGACTTGATTGAGAGTGACTCAGAGGTGATAGGCCTCAAATGCAAAGATATTGTGAAGTGGTTATATGGCTAAATTCTTTCACCTTTCAGTATTTCCATTTTATACTACTTTTACAATCTTAAAACTTTATAGGCGCAGTTAAGTTACACAGTAAGGATTTGACTAATACTTTATTTATAGCTAACGAGTTTAGAGGGAAAGAGATGGAAGTAGATGAAAGGAAAAAGGAGAAAAAGGAAGGAAGAAAAAATAAAGGTATTCTCTTTTTCTTATTTGAAAATTAAAAATATGATACAAGAGAAAATTAAGGTTAATAAGATATTTTTATAATTTTATTCTTTTTTAAAAAATTAATACAATTAAAAAACTAAAGTAATGTTATGTTTACAAAACTAATATAATATAATTATTATATTTTATAATTAATGTTAAGGGTAGATAAGTAATTTTTAATATTTTTCTTTTCAAATCTCAAATTAGGGGAACTCTGATTTTAAGGGTGAGAAAATTTTTGGAGGGATTTACAAAAAATTTCAATTCCCTTTTCTCATTTTTTTAAACTCATAAATAGGGAAAAAAATATATATGTAAAACCTTCCATTTCCTTTCCTTTTCTTTCCAAAAGTGACTCGCAAACAACTTTCAAAAGACTGGGAGTCTGTTCTAGCCTACTAGGAAACCGGTGTCTAATCTTATTTAGACTTTCATTAAAATAAAATAAAACAACTTTATAGACAATATGCTAAATCATTCTTAAAGAACAAAAAAACAAAGTTGAATCACTAAAATGCAATGTATGATTAAACACATTAACTAATCCAAAAGCTTAGGTCATGAGTACAGTTATAAAGAAAATGCTAGGTTGAGATTTTTATTTATTTTTTATTTTAGGGAAGATTCAAAGATTCATTATAAATGTAAACTTTAGATAAGTTTAAATAAGTCCCATGTGGATGGGGAGAAGGAGAAAGAGAAAGAAATTATATAAAAAAGAAAATAGACTGTATTATAAAAATTTAAACACATATACTTATTTCATGTTGCACAAGTTTATGGATTAAGCTGTCTCAATTTGGAACATGTTGGTATGTTACTTAATGAGTTATAAAGAAAATATTTTGGGTGGTAGGGTGTTATGTGGTTCTAAAAATCAAAGAAATAAATGCGTAAAAATAATAAACCAACCTAATAATGTCAACTATAGTATTTTATAGTTGCGTCATGAGTGATGGAAAGTGACACGGGAAATGAAAAAAAAAAAGAAATATATTGGTGACACGTGACATGATATGCAGTCCACACGATGCAAGGTGTGGTAAGTGAGAAAAGACATCACGTGTCTAAATTGCGGTATATGGTTTAAGGGATTTTAGTTTGTCTTTTAATATGATCAGAAAAACTTTCCTACACACAATATTTTGTGGGACCTACACTTTTTAAATCAAAAAAAAAAAATTATGACGTGCTAAATGAATCTCTATAACATTACACAATAACTTTTCTTACGAGATAACTCTTATAAAATTCATGGTTTAAATGCCGTTTCTGTTATACCAAAAGTTAATTATACAAATTGGACCGATTCCTCTTTTCTTTCTCCTCCACAAGCCCAAAAGTTAGGAGATCATGTTCATAACTCCTTTGAATTACAAATTTACCCATCTTATACTGCATCTAATTATAGGGCATGCAATATCAGCAACAAAATAGGTAGAGTGGGCTATCACCATAGTTAATGGGTTCTATCTTTTCTCCATACACATTCTTTAACAATTGGATCTGCACGTCTTTGATTATTTTTTTTAAGAATTATTTACCTTGTTCATCAATTAGTGCCTGTTTGGATCCTCTTTTTTTTAAGCTACAAGCTACTTATAAGCATAAGCTAGGCCAAACAGGTTTTGGGAAAAGCTCTTATAACGAAAAGCTCTTTTTTTTATAATGAAGAAAAAAGTTGAAAATTAAAAGCTCCTAGGAGGAGCTTTTTTTTAAGCTCTTATCTGTTTTTCTTGAATTGTGTGCTTTTTTTTAAAATAAAGAGTGATAAAGATAGAAAGAGATAATTTTCTTGAAATATGTGTTTTTAAGTAATTTTTAAGCTAAAACTTTTATGTAATTTCCAAACAGCTTTTAGCTTATTTTTTTAAGCTCTTTTTTTTAGCTTTAGCTTATAAGTAGCTTCTAGCTTAAAAATAAGAGGATCCAAACAGGCTCTTAATATGATGAAGTCGAACAGGATGATAAAAACAACAAAATTTTCCTTATCGAGTTTCTAATATAATTGTAGGGTTTATCATCTATCATTTAACATGACCACAAAAATTTTCCTACAAACACAACATTTTGTGGGGCCCGCAGCAAAAAAAAAAAAAAAAAAACTTCGGCACGCAAAACAAATCTCTATAACATAACACAATCACTTTTCCTACAACATAAGTCTTATAAAACCCATAATTGTATTTTCAAGACTCAAATTTGAGACTATTAATTAAATTGAATCAATTCTGTGTCGGTTGATTCAGGTGTTTAGCGATCATTTTCCTGAAATTCTTATCCTCTCAAAAAGATTTTTTTTTTTTTTTAGAAAGTGTAATTTATACCTTTTTATTTTGAGTAAATACTATTTTGGATCTTGTCCTGGGTTTGTATACCCGGAAATCGCTAGCCGGGGAATCGGCTGAGTTAACTCAGAAGATCTTTGCCCGAGTTATGGGTCGATTATTTCACATAGTGATACTTGAGGTGGGTCCTACCATGATAGAATGATAATGTCTACCATCACCCACGTCCAGTGTAACCACCTAAACTAGGGGTATATATATAGAGGAGAGTATTCTAGGAACGGACACTGAGAATTAAAAAGAACCCATATTGATGTTCGTCTAGAACAGATCCTCAACAAAAAAATACAGAATTCATTTTAATCCCTTCGAAAAAAATACTCATATTAATTCTTTTTGAGGGACTAACATGAATCTTTTTTGAAATTCAGAGGGATCATAATTTTAAAGAACAGAAATTTTAGAAAGACTACAAGTTGATTTTTTTCTGGATTAAAATGGATTTTGTGTTTTTGTTGAGGACCCAAAAGGGTATTTACGCTTTTATTTTTGTAAATATGTGCGCATATAGAAAAAAGCATTTGTTAACCTTTAAAATTTTGACACAGCACCAGTTGAGGAAATATTTTTCCATACTCTCAGTATTACTGAAAACTTAGTATATCTTTTATTAAATTTGAAAAAATCTAATGCAAATGACATTTATCATTTTAACCATACTTTTATAATTATTCTCATCTAACTCTCACTTTTTATTATTTTTAATAAAGAAATAGATACTCCCGTAATATCAAGTATACACCCCGGTTGAGGTGGAACCAAAGAGGATTTAGAAGATTGATTGCTGCCACAAATTGGAGATTTTTAAAAATAACTGAGATGTTGTTTGTCGATTTTTTGAAATAGTTGATTGTGTTCTCTAGAAGTTTGAGATGCTTAAAAATATCTTAGAAGTTAGTTGTCCTTTTATGTGAATCAGTTGATTATCCTTTTCTTTTACTTTTTCACAGAATTTCGTGGCACTAGCTTTGAACCGCATTACCAAATGATATAATTTAATTGCTGCATAAAAGTTGAGTAAGTACATATGAGAGTATATGGTTGATTTTTTTAATATTATCTTTGGAAGAGATATAAAATCTTAATCTTAGATCCATCCCGAACAATGTTTGCACCGAACAACATTTGCACCGAAAAATGTGCCAAGTGAAATTTGTGCTCTAAGTTTGAAAATAAGTTGAAAAAGGTACTTAAGAACAAGAAATATAATTGTTGATGAAATTTGATGGATTTTAAGATTTTTGGAGAAACGTGGCAACGATGCACATATCAGGCTAAAACAGTTATTTCACCGAATGATCGAAAAACTTGGGATTCATATGTTAAAGTAAAATTAAAAGACTTTGGTGAATATTAAATTTTGGATTTTATGAATATTTTATGAATTAAGTGAAGATTAGTGGGTTAAGTGGATGATTTGAAATACTTTAAATTATGTAAATGTCATATGGGACCCACTCACTTAAGTGACTTAAAACATAAATCACATCAGCTACTATTCATCATCTTCTCCCTCACTCTCTCTCTTCATGGCCGAACCTCACCTTCCAAACAGGGGTTGGATTTTGCTTTATCATTCCTTGACCAAAACAAGAATAATTGATTAAGTCAAATGTACAAGTAGTAAAAGTAAAGCAATTTTCTTAATACTATTTAACAATTATGTTGTGCTTAATTACCATAAATAGTATATGGACCAGATGCATACGGAATGTTACACATTAATTTTTAAAATATATAAAATATCATTTTTAATTAATAAGGGTTAAATGTAATGGTAAGAGAGGGTAAAGTTTAAATATTGAACTAAAACAGAGTATAAAGATACGGATCTGTTTCCTATAACACCCCGTTTGCAGCAAGTTTGTTAACTCATGTATGGTACTTAAAGCGCTAAATAATTAAATTCTGAAGTGGAAGACTTAAACAAATATTTCACTGTTACTTAAATAACTAGGTGACTTAAATTTTTTCTTTTAAATTATCTTTACGTATCGCCGTCCATAATTTATTTTTGAATATAACATAGTCTATACAGTCCCATACTTGCATATAATTTATTCTTAATAAACCTGTGACCATAATTGATCCAATTACTATCCGAATATGATAATGAATACCATTTCGAATAGAGTCTTTACGGACAACATAACGGCTGTAAATCGGACTAATCCAGGGATCAAATCCCACTTTTTTTCATAACACCTGATAAACAGAAAAGTCCAATCCATATAGATACATATATACCAGAATATGGCTCTG